TATTAACTTGATAGGTGTATATTGCTTTTTGTGTTTGAACAAACTCTATAGGCCTAGTATAGCCTATTCGCTTATGGGTTGATAAATTAATTTTACGCGTCATGATGTAAGCTTTTCATTAAAACAAAGCATGTGCACTAGTTGGCTATTATGAGATCCTGGCATTATATGAGATGAGATTTTAAAGGGATATAGTTCACACAAAAATTTTAATACTGTCATCATTTACTCAGTTTGAAGTTGTTCTGAACCTGTATGAATTTCTTTGTTCTCCTCAACATAAAAGAAGATATTTTGAAGAATATTCGTAACCACCAGAAAGTTTCTGGTCCCTGTTGACTCCAATATATATATATTTTTTCATACTACGGAAGTCATGGGGGCACAGAAACTGTTTGGTTACCAGTATTGTTCCAAATATATTATTTTGCATTCGACAGCAGAAGGAATCTCATACAGGTTTAGAACAACAACAGAATTTTCATTTTTGGGTGAACTATTCCTCCAAAGCAGCCTAATATAGCTTCTGTTGCCATTTGTGTCAATTATGTAAATCAAACATTAGAAAGAAAATCACTCCATGTCCTTGACCGAATCGCTTTTGTAAAATAATGTATATTGAATTTATACAGTGAAGACTATTCAGTCTATTTGTAGTCTATTTATTTTATACAATATAATATTTCTTATTCAGTGCTTTAAGTGTTTGTAGGTCAATTTCTTTGTTCTATTGTAATGCATGACTGTTTACTTGTCTTCAGTAAGTTTGTTTTTACGTAGGCTAGTATATTTTGTATTTTTGTATTTTTTGATATTGGAATTGGTATCATGAATTATGAAATTGCAATGCATCAAAAATGTTGATTGGATAAAAATACTGTTTTAAGCTATACATATATATATCATTATTGTGATGGGGGGCCCTGCAGTAAGTCATAGTCCCGTGGCCCAGTGAGGTCTTAATGCGGCCCTGGGTACATGAATAATCATGTACTAATGGTATTTTATTTGATGATTTGTTAATGTATCATTGTGTCATGACTTCACTTTGAGGGGCCCATCATTACTAACTAATTATTAACTACCCATAAACTAACATCAACTCATGGTTTGTTAATGCATTATTTTGCCATGACTTTACTTGAGAGGGTCCATAATAATTAATTCATTATTAACTATCCATACACTAACACAGGGGTTTTCAAACTTTTTTGTCAGCCGAACCCCTTTGTCCTAAATTATGTACTTGAAGTACCCCCTGAGATTTTAAGTAAATATTTCAATTATTTAATGGCACATTTGCATGTTTAACTTTAAAAACATTTATTTTTTTATCAGTTTTAAAGTTTTATTAGTATTTACATAGCTATTGTTATTATTACACTCAACAAATTATAAAAATTAATATTACTGTAATTTACACTGTAATTATAATTTTTTTTTCACAATAATTTTTTTATACAGGGTTTCCCAAAAAGAGAATTATTTTTATACATTTCAGATTTTACATTTACATCACATTTGTATAAACCTGTAACATTTATTTGCAAAAACTTTTTAATAAATTTTTTTTTAATTAATTCGTTAATGGTATTAACTCGTAGGCATACCGTGTACCCAGGGATTGAAATTAACCTTTCCACTCACCAGCCAATTTGGCTACTAAATTTTAAAGTTACCGGCCATTCATAACTTCTACTAGCCAAAAAAACTAACAAAAAAAAAAAACACATGGAAATAAACCAACAGCTTGAGGCTGTCTACACTGGACATGACAAATTGACCGTTGCAAATCTTTTTATGTCAGTACTAGGGGTGTGCGATATTGACAAAAAAAAATCTCAATATTTTCTGGGATTTTATCGATAAAGATAATTAGACGATATTTTGCTGAGTGTGTTATTGTTCTGATATCTTAAGGACTGCCGTGGACAGCTGGACAGCTACCTCCTAAAGTTTTTGATATTTGATATTTGATATTCATCATATTCTGTGTGGCGGTCAGTTCATATCAGTGATAGAAATTAATTTTCCAATAAGTTTAAATTGAATTTTTACCTTTTATGGGCATTTTTACCTTTATAAAGCCATTTTTTCTAAAATTGCGCACCATCTTTTGAGTCAAATTCTTACATTTAATCAGTCAATTACAATAATAATACATTTAGACTGTTACTAAACAAATTACCAGTAGGTGGCAGCAAGACACTGTTAATAAGTGAGTCATTGCGATTGAGCTGAATCATTTTAAATGGTTGATTCATTCAGGAACGAAACACCGTCAAGTTGCTCAGAGACGCAAAACAGTGCTGTGGCTGAAATAGAGCAAAATGTTTTTTTGAAATAGTTGGCGAAATAGAGCAAAAACAGGAAACATGGTGTCTAAAATGTAAGTATCTTGATATTGACTTAATGTTTTTTGAACTGTTGATAAAATCAATATCACATTTGTAACCATGCTGATTTTTTAAGAAAAAACGGCACTCTTCATGTGATATGTGATCATTCTTAATGCATATTAATAGACTGAATCATGCCGTGAAAGAACACAGTCTAAATGCGCACGCGCACTTTAACTTAGACTACTCAACACTACTTTAACACTAGACTACTCAAGTTAGTCTAACCAGACTTCATTACGTCGTGTATGTGTGCACTCTGTAGGTGAGTTTTGTTTTGTTTTTGCAATATACTCGATAATGTCATGATGTCTCACGAGTTTAGTATTTGCGCTAAACCTGTGCAGATTTGGCTTGCATAAACTTCCCCAAGAAATTAATGAGTGAACATAACTTACAAAAAGTAACCTGCCAAATGGGCTAGCGATTTGACAGCATTGCCCGCCACAACTGTTTTTACCCGCATTTGGTGGCAGGGGTGCCAGCTTTTCACAACAAAACCCGCTCAATTGCTACTCAAAACTAGCCCAAAACTAGCCCAATTGCATTTCGAGGGGGGGGCTCCCCGTTAAAAATCGCGTTCCGGGGGGTAAAATACACGTTTTTGGTGGGGTTCCCCTGGTAAAATTTGCACTCCGGGGGCTAAATACTACGTTATCGGGGTCGCTTTAACCCGCGGACATGAAAACAACCCGCGGCAACAGTGATAAAGTAGCCCAATTCCATGGGAAAACCGCGGATTTGGCAACACTGTTTGGCGGGTGTTCATTTCAAACCCTGCGTGTACCAACTCACGAACCCCCTGCAATTCCCTTACGAACCACCAGGGATTCACGAACCCCACTTTGGGAAACCCTGCACTAACATCTACTCATGGCTTGTTGCATAATTGCATTATTTTGACATGACTTTACTTGAGGGGGCCCGATCATAATTAATTTTTTAGCTGCATATAAGTCACAGTAGGGTGAATTTAAAGGGAAAGAGAACAACACAGATCAGTTATTAGTGTATTTAGCTTGATTTCCACGCTTGATGAGGAGGATCAACTAATCCTTCGCCCCCCAGTAATGATTATGACAATGCTGAAGATGTCAAAAGCTCAAATTATGATATTAAATTATATAAATTCATTTCAAAGTCAGATTATTTCTTATTCCTTCTTAAAGGAATAAGATTTAGTTTACCAATAAATGTTAATTAATGCATTAACTATCAAACATGTACTAACATGCAGTTAAGGCTGCCGTTATCAATGCCTGAATCCATATGACTCCAGTCGTAGTTAAGGATAGCTCTTCATTAGTTCATGATTAGTTAAGACCTTTAATAATCATTAGTATATGATGAATTAAGTATTAATTTAGGCATTAGTAAATGATTATTCATGTAACCTTATTGTATAGTGCGATTTGGATGCATCATTGAAAGGTGAGATATTTTGCTGAATAAAATGATCCTGCCAGAAGAATAGCTGTGAACTTTATTATGTCTGTTCCATCTGTATCATCTCAGTGAGCTTTTGTGAGGTTTTACGGATAGGCAGTAAGGTGAATTTAGCATTTTCCAGTGTTTTAGTTTGGATGAATAGCTTTTTGAAAACACTAGTGTGGACGGAGATCGTTTTGAAAGGAAAACATTTTTTTCAAATGTATCCGGATTAATGTAGATGTAGCCTTAATTTCTTCTGCCTGGAGATCTGACTTAGATTCACACATATACGTCTCTATCACAGAGCTTGCCATCTCAGTTTGCATTATTGACAAACTATTTTCCTGTTTGACACTGTAAAGCTGCTTTGACACAACCAATATTGTATAAAGCGCTATACAAATGAAGGTGACTTCACTTGACTCAAGTATCAAAACGCACTACATGTTGTAAAGGAGGGTGTGGATACAGTGCAATGAAGTTACAAATATTGGACCTTTTTTCTTTATTAACTAACCTCAAGAAACATAATAAAAATAAAAATAAATTAAAAACCCTTTAAATTTAATAGTGCAATAGAGCAATTCAATTAAAATGGATCAACTTTCTCTGTATCTCTATATTATGTATTTTTATTTTTAATCCTTGTTAAAGCATTGCATTGTTACTTTAGCAAAATTCTAAATTCGGACCATATTGAAATCAATTTTCAGTCAAGTGTTTTATTCGCTTTATATGTATAGTGCTATTTTGTGTCATGCACACTGTTTATGAAGAGATCCAAATCAGTCATATATGAGATTCTGTTTTGGTTAGGATGCTCCCTTAGAAGACAGATATTTATGTAGACAAAACACAGTGAGGCAGCTTACCAAGATTTGAAAGAGAGCTAGAGAAGAAAACGAAAATTATATCTTGGTCTTCTAGCCAACTCTGAGTGTATATAAATCGTATCTATATATTTATTTATTTATTTAATCACACACAGGTAGAACTGGTAGAAATGTAGCTGGTTTCACATGCTTTCTATCTGGTCCAGACTGGTCATTTAATGTCAACAGCAGTTTAAGCAGATCCAAATGGTTGGTGAAGCTAAAGCTGACCTGTAGGTCATCTTCGTCAAGCTATAATAGAGCAAATTGGTCCAGCAAGAAACCAGCTACCATGTTCCAGAAAATAGCTTGGCTACATGGTTTGACCTGGTTTTCACTCTCTATCTCTCATGTATTATTTTTTTGTCCAATAATTACACACAAAATAAAAAAATGTTGTAGGCTAATTAAATTGTATGATAATTTGACATGTAGGCTATGTCTTTTAGTTTTCCATACTTTGACAGAGAGTTGTTGTTTAGCTAATTTGTTTATTATTTTAAGAAATCAAATTTGCATGTGTATGTAAATGTTGCACTACATTCAAAGCAGCCACTGGATGATTTTCTCTAGCTCACACCTGAGCTACACCTGAGCATTTCAAATCAGCAACAAAATCTGAAATTAACTGCCCCATGAATGTTCTTCCATATGCTTAAATAGTGTTAAAAAATATATATTTTCAGGCTAGACCAGTTGATGTTCATGTGCAGTCATAGCTTAAGTCTCAGGTCTCTATGGGAACCGGAGCTTCTAATGGCAGCTGCAGTGCCACAGTGACTTTACCAATCAGCGATTGACTGTTTTATTCAGAAGGCCGGACTATTCTGCCTTATTGCACGTTGCCATTTCTCCCATTCATAAGTAATAGGAGTGAACCGTCTTTGTATCTTTGTATCTGTAATATTTGGCTCAGGTAAGTTAGGCTCTCACAGTTAATGATCAAGTATGATTTGATGCTGATGTGTAGTTTCCATGCTTCATCTGTGTATCCTTTTAGAGAACATGGAAAGCTTGTGTAGCTGTTGCCATGGATACTGGATAGTGAAGAACAATTGATACATTTAGATATGAAACATCTGGCATGTACTATATAAATGTGTATATACAGTAAACTTGTGTATTTCTAAGTTTTCAATGTCAGTGTAGCTAAATACTGCCTGATAAATAGGCTAGTAATGACCATACCACAAGTTTCCTTTTGTCTGGGTTTTGTGTGTGTGTGTGTGTGTGTGTGTGTGTGTGTGTGTGTGTGTGTGTGTGTGTGAAATGAGTGTCTCCACAGGGAATTGTTAATAATAGCTCATGAGTGACATTGAAATGTGTGTGGGTCTGCTGTATGTAGGCCAATCCATGGTCGAGTGTGTTATACTCAGAGATCATGCGTAGATGTGTAGTACTTAGATGATGGTAGGCTTAGACCGAAAAACAGATTTTTGCTTCAGTATTTCAGGTGAAATATTGATGTTTTTTGACTGGCAGACTTTTTTTTTCTATTCTATTTTTCGAGTTTTGTTTCTTGCTCAAATATATTTGGATGGTGTGTGTGTGGAGTGCTCAAGTTATTCCAAAAACATAATGGTATTTATGAATTAATCATTTTCAGAGATTTTTTAATTTTAATTTTCGGAGACGTGAGCTCCAGGGCGGCAGTGGCCGCTCAGCACTCATTAGCCTGCCGAGAATAGCCTTACCTTGGCCACTTCTTTTGCCACTGGCTCTGATGTCTCTATTCGCTTGTTACGTAAGTGACGTAAGGAATGCTGTTTCCGGGTCCAAGCCTCCACTCATTTCACTTGAGAATACTCTTAACAGCAATTTTTGAGCACTATTTATTCATTATACACATTTAAGATAAACATTTAAAACTTACGGTGTACACTACAGTCTCCATGTTCATGGCGTCCCAGACACACATATTTTACCGATTTATAAAAGATGAATCAGTGTCTGGCCATCTGGGAATTGGTAATGAGATAAAGGTTAAGATTATATTCTTTTGGTAGTATTACATCACATTGTGAGTTTATATTAGCACCATTTGTTGTTTTCTTGTGGCTTGAGATTTGCATCCTGGAAGCAGTGACGCATGACGTCAGACTTAATAAGCAGATAATGGCTAAACAATTCATTTTCGGTGTATATATGACAGGCTGTCTTTGGTCTCATTAATGTATTATTTGTTCCAGATCAAATAGTTTTGGCTGAGGGCAAAGTTCCATAACTTTGTATTTTTATACAACTTTAATGCTGTATCAGAGTGCTGCCTTTGTACTTTTGACTGAATTGCTTAGCCACATTTATAATACCTATTTTTGTTTATTAAATATTATTGTTCAATAAATATTATTTGATTTTAAAAATGGTAGTATATAATAATGGTATTGAGAAATGGTCTGCGTGTTAGTGATGGTGATTTTGGTTACATTGTTATGCCATTAGATGTCAAAAATATCTTGAGTGAGTCAGCAACAAAGACTTTTTATATTGAAAGGACTGAAACATGGTTGTAAACAAAGACATTACCGTATTGGCCCGAATATAAGACGACCCTGATTATAAGACGACCCCTTTTTTCCAGATGTACCTTTTGGAAAAAAGGCTTTTTAAAAACCAAATCTTGTTTTTTCTCAGTAAAACACATTTTGTCTTCAATTATTTTCATATTGCATATTTTTCCTATTTTAATTTTTGTTTTGAAAGTATGGTAAAAACTGGTAAAATGTACCAACAATCACATTTAAAAAATATACACTTTTTGATATACCATAAAAAAAACAAGAAAAAAAACAGGTAGTCCATCTGAATTATGACATTTAGGCTATCCATCTAATAGTAGCCTACCAAAATCTTATTAAGAGTGGAAGTTAAATCTTATTAACAGTAGTCTTCAAATCTGGGTACTGTCTTACGTTTTAAAATCACAAAGGGAGTTTGGTCCCATCAGGCTAACGTGACAGTCACGACTCATGCAGCTGTAAGGTTTTCTGCTTCTTTTGTTTTTACTCGCGATCTTTACAACACGCATTACATTACGTATTTCATGGCACACTCGTTTAATGCGTATTTGGCGCCACCTATTGTTGTGGGTGTATTATTGACATGTCAAAGTCTAGACCCTGAATATAAGATGACCGCGTTTTTTCAGATGTATTTCCAAGAAAAAAACATTGTCTTATATTCGGGACAATACGGTATTTACATTCAACAACACCTTGTTAGACACAACCAACAAATGTACTGACCAGCGTTATCATGGGAAATCCTCTTAACAGTTGAAAGGATAGTACAACGAAGATACCACTTTCGTCTGTGGACATTCAAACTAATGCTTTATTCGGAATATAAAATTGAACTGAAGACTGAATGCTGTATCAGATGCTGTATCTCATAATACTCTACTCTACATAATACAATAAGCTTTTAACACTTTAATGCTGTATCAGAGTGCTGCCTTTGTACTTTTGACTGAATTGCTTAGCCACATTTATAATACCTATTTTTGTTTATTAAATATTATTGTTCAATAAATATTATTTGATTTTAAAAATGGTAGTATATAATAATGGTATTGAGAAATGGTCTGCGTGTTAGTGATGGTGATTTTGGTTACATTGTTATGCCATTAGATGTCAAAAATATCTTGAGTGAGTCAGCAACAAAGACTTTTTATATTGAAAGGACTGAAACATGGTTGTAAACAATAATACTCTACTCTACATAATACAATAAGCTTTTAACTTCAATGAAGCAACTCAACATTCCTTTGTTACTAGTTCTAAAGTGACGTTTTCAAATTAGGAACAGAGGCTTTGGTCTCAACTGTTAAACTGCCAACTTGAGATTTGTATCCATAGTGGAAGTAGTTTCACACACAAAGGTTTTTTTAAGGCACTCTATCGTTGTGTCTTGTTTATTTACATGTGCCATCAAACTCTTGTATAAACGCAATATCACACTCATTGCTGTTCAGTATGGCTCTATATCAACACAGCTGTGATTACCTACAGCTGTCAGCCTGTGGCCTCGTGCCTACGGCCAAATCACAGCCGTGATATAGATATACTGTAGATGGCTACTCATGTGATATTGCTTATATAAACACTCACATTTAAGGTTTAAGGACAATGGTTTTAATGGTTATACCACAAGTCATTAAAATAAAACTTTTCTTGACAATATTATATACGTTTTATATGAATCCAACATGTATAAAAAGAAAATTTGACACAAATAATAATAATAAAATATTTTTCTTTATCATTAATACTGTTAAAAATCATTGACGCTATAACGAGTGGAGCGAGGCTGGTGAGTGGCGCAGGTGTCGCTCATTATCATTTACTCCATCGGCCTCGCTCCGCTCCCATGGCTCTCGGCTCCGCCCCACTTGTCAGAGACCCATTTATGCAGTATTTTTTGATTGCCCTCAAATAACATTTAACTGATAAAGTTTGCTTTAAACTAAATTCTTTTATGTGGTTTCTCATTCTTGTCAGACCCATAATTCCTCAATAAAAGACCTCCTTCACCACCAAAATGGATGCCCCCTCTGAACATGCTGCCATGGAGCTGGACTTCGGCCATTTTGATGAGCGGGACAAGGCATCTCGTACCCTGCGAGGTGGACGGGCCAACGGTCTCCCCAGCCCCACCCACAGTGCTCACTGCAGTTTTTACCGTACACGCACCCTACAGGCTCTGACCAGCGAGAAAAAGGCTAAGAAGGTGCGATTCTACCGCAATGGCGACCGCTACTTCAAGGGCATCGTGTATGCAGTGGCCAATGACCGTTTCCGCACATTTGATGCTCTACTGGCTGACTTAACCCGCTCTCTGTCTGACCATATCAATCTGCCACAAGGGGTCAGATACATCTTTACCATCGACGGATCACAGAAGATTAGCAGTCTGGATGAGCTAGAGGAAGGTGAGTGTTTGAGTTTGGCAGTGAGATTTGATGAAACATTTCTGAAAAGCTTGGAAAATGTGTGCATGATATGGTGTCTCTACAATTTGCATACTATTATTGAGCAATACATTTCCACATAAACAGTTAGTCTGAGAAACATTCATAGAAATTTCAGACCAAATATGCATATTATGAAAAATGAATTTGCCTTGGTTCATGAGATACACGTGTAAGAGTGCTGGACACAGTGCTTCAGTTTGTAACTTGCAGCACAATATATTTATTTGATGGAAAACAAAATAAAAGCTTAACGGTTTAACATTTGTAAATGAAAAAAATTAAGACTTATAAATATATAAATATATCCTAACAAATGCCTTACATCCCTAATCCTACTCAATATCTAAACTTAACAACTACCAACTAACTATTACTAACTACTAATAAGCAGCAAATTAGGAGCTTATTGAGGCAAAAGTTGTAGTTAATGGTTTGTTAATAGTGAGAATTAGACCTTAAAATAAAGTGTGACCCAAATACTTACAATCAATACATTAAATGCATGTTCCCTGAAGACAAAATAAGTACAATTTACCCCGATCCTTCAATGAAAATTTTTTACACCCTCCGCTTTTTAATGCATTGTGTTGCCTTCTCACACACACACACACACACACACATATATATATATATATATATATATATAAAAAAAATAAATAAAACATGTTTGAATTTATAAAAATGAACAATTTATAAACATGCAATTTTTACGATCCCTCTTATTTTGTTAAAATTATTAACATTTTGCATATTATGCAAGGGGTATGTAAAGAACTGTCACAATATAATTTGTTTCCAGTATTGTGCATGTCACATATATTCTGTTTCTGTGGACTCTTAAAGTTTTCCCTTCACCTAGTTTCTTTAGTAACTCATTACATTCACCTGTGTCTAGTTTAGTTGCTTGTGTTCTCAATAGCCACGTTTCCACTGTTGGGGCAGAAGCATGCTAGTGTGTGCCAGGGCCAGTCATGTTCCCACTGTCACTTCCAGGGCTTGATTGGGCCTCCTCGGGGTCAACGGCCAGGGGTTTTTGGCCTACCGAATACCTTGGTCCAAAGCGGGCCAACTGGGGCTTGAGGAGTGGTCATGTATAGAAGTTAGAGTTTTATCTGAGTCCAGTGAAGGTTAACAATGCTGCTTATGTCCCATGTTTACATATTTTGAGTTCGAAACAAACAATTTTGTATTCAAAACTTTTTGTTTTACCAAACTAAGTTGCTGATTGCCGGAATTAAATCCTCTCCTTTGTGCTGCTTTAATCTGATACTAGTGATGGGGTAATTATTTTTCAGACTCTCTCGTTCATCAAAGTGAACTTATCTTTATTCAAGTCATTTTGTTTATTTCAGCAGCATTAAATGTTATATTTTTAACAGCCAAATTACCCAAACACATTCACCTACACAATATCATATTCTGAATTAGGAAATCATTACAATGCAGCCAAAGATAATCAATGAGGAACATAGATGATTACTTTACCTCCCAGAGTCTTAATTAATTTGTCGTGTGACAGACACAATGAACAAATCATTCATGAATGACCCATCACTACTTGACAGCAATGATTGTATGAAATAACTTCGTAACTTTCTCACTGTGTGAGGAAGAAATATTTTACTTATAGATTTATATGTGATGCTAAAGGCTACTAATGCTAACCATCGCCAAAACAAACCAAGCAAGTAAATTTATTAGCTCACCTCAAGCAAGTCAAGTACAGTACCAAACAGAAACAAGTATCGTTTATATTTGCCAAAACCTTATTTATTTTTCCCTTAGAAATAATGAACTTTCTTATTCATACATTTAAAAATAATTTATTCTTCCACATTAAAAAATATTATAGTAATTTATAGTAAATACTGTAGTGTTTTTGAACCATACTATAGTAAAGTGCATTATACTGTATATATTATAGTATTTACAACACTTTTTAATGAACGCTACAGCATACTGTTGTATTAATTATTGTGAACTGATAAACTGTAATAAATACTGTAGTATACTTTAGTTTTTCCTACAGTAAACTGTAGTGTATTGTAGTATAATATAAAATAAAATATAAACTTAGTACAGTATTGGGTAAAGTAATTTGTTTATATTACTATAGTTGTTATATTACCACAGCAACTATAAAATTACCACAACAAATTAATTCAAGTAATTTACTATAGTATGGTTCAAAAACACTATAGTATTTACTATAAATTACTATATTGTATTTTTTCATGTGGGCTAATGCTTATTTATAGTTATTATAATAATATTACAGTTTTTCTCAATTGCTTAAACACATTTCTTGAAATTATGCCTCTTTTTTGCGAAACTCTAATCACAAATCCATAGCTTTTACAGTTTTTCTGAATTGCTAAAACACATTTCTTGGAACCATCACTCATTTTCTCAAAACCTTAAACACAAATCCAAATACTCAAACTAAATTCACGAAACACACACACACGAGTCAATAAAGAAAACACTACAGAGCATTCATTAGACACTACAGAGAAAAATGGAGAACACAGCATCCAGAACATTACAGAAAAAAAGATTATATTGAGTAAACAATTTTGCAATTCTGTAAAAAAAGTATAGTACAGTTTTTTCTGAATTGCTAAAACACATTTCTTGAAACCATCACTAATTTTCTCAAAACCTTAAATACAAATCCAAATACTCAAACTAAATTCACGAAACCTCTGGCTCGTCCATCAAAATAAAACAATCACTGCAAAACCATTTCACTTGCACTCAAAATCAAACGGTGCTCTCAGATCACACACACATGAGTCAATAAAGAAAACACTACAGAGCATTCATTAGACACTACAGAGAAAAATGGAGAACACAGCATCCAGAACATTTCAGAAAAAAATATATTCTATTGAGTAAACAACTTTGCAATTCTGTAAAAAAAGTATAGTAATTGCAACTGAGTAAGGTGAATATATTGTATAGGCCTACTGTGTGTACTGCAAGTACTAAATGTTTGTATATATTCAGCACTTGGATACTGCAATAATACTGCAGTTCAACTGCAAAGGCCAAAAAGGTCAAATAAAACTCTAAATGAATAGCATGTTACAGTACACTCAAATACTGCAAGTTGTGCAGTTGTGAAACCAGGGTCAATGAGAGATTAATTCTGTCTCAGCATCATGTCTTTGTGCTGGAGTCCGAAAAAACCCTCTGGTGTGACAGATCCAGCCTTGATAACACTCTCTAAACCTTACTCTTTCTCTCCTCATCCTCCACTTCTTACATGTACTCTTCCTCCTCTCCTTCTCAGATTGTTTCCATCTATTGTTCGTATCATCATTCAGTCACCTGTGCCACTTGTGCACTCTGAACTGGCTCATATTTAGTACAGTTGGTTTGGTCACATCATTAGAAACAAGTGTGAACAATTTTGAATAGTTGTGTTTAAACGATGACAACTGTGCTTTAGTTGTGTTTAACTTTTGCCGCTTGTGTTTAGCATTTTGCAGCACAAATGCATCAGAGACTACGTTTACATGGACATCAGTAATCTAATTATTTTTGACGTAAATGTTTCACATGAGCGGATCAATATGAATACAATGATACGTAACACATAATAAGGCCTTAAATCCATGAAATGAGGAGCATCGCTCAGATCACCTACAACAGTTCTGAAAGTGGGGATTTCTTCGCCCAAGGTCAGACCGATTTATTCTGGTACCATTTATATGGGGTTGCTAATCTGAGATTTCTTCGTCAGAAAAGGCGTACCCTCTACTAACAACAGGAATTAGGATTTCTTCGCTAAAATCAGGTTAGTTTCTTATCGTACGATTTAAACACATTATAGCACTGAAAACTTTCTACTGCTTGTAGGAAGGCACATTCAAGCTATAGTTTTATCTGATTTTGATCAGAAACTGGTGCGCGCATGTATAAGAAGTTACGTGCGTTGCATCGCACCGTGTAAACATAAAACCATGTCTGCATTTGTGATCGGAGAAATGACAAACAACAAGCGCTGCTCTACACTGCTCAAAACTCGCGTTTGAATCGTCAGTGGCAAATCCTTTAAATATAAAAATGTACTTACAGTCTGTGAGTCAGAACAGCCGGCATTGTAGTCTACTCTACCAGGATCAGGAAACAGTCCTCCATAAAATGCGCTGCACACATCTGAATATTTGGGTTGAACTCTTCTGGAACAGTGTTGTAAATACAGCTTAACCACTGATTTCTAGTCGTGTCCTCTTTTGGAAGGCCAAACAAATTAGTTTCGCTTTCACAACGAAACACACAGCATCACACACAGCGGACTTGAGTGAGTGGAGAGCTTGAGTACGGCTCGGCCGGCGGATTCGACGAAGGAGCGGCCGGCGGGCTTGCGGCAGCCACATGTGACGACCCCGGGCTGGACTCCGCTTCGTCCACGGTGAAAGCCGATCCGGCGATCCACAGCACGAAGTTGATTCATTTCCTCAGCGACCAGCATGGATCAGCTCCAGTGTTAATTTCGTTGACGAATAATTTTCGTCATAATTTCCGTCAACAACATTTTTTTCACCGACGACAACGAGACGATAACGAACTAAAACTCTTTTTGAATGACAAAAACTATGACGTAAATCTATTGACATTTTCGTCAACTAATAAAAATGAGACGAAAATGTTAGGGAGGAACGATTTGGGAAGAAATTTATTCCGAACGAATCTGCTGCGTGGTTTGGAGGTAAGATGCATACATATGAACCGGCGGGACATGAGCTAACATACACTTGCTGCAAGTCGCGTAAAATGTTCAAAAATGTCAATATGTGGGAGTAAGAGAAGAGCAGACATATGGATAAATCTGACGACGCAAGAGAGAACTCAATTCAGTCCGGTTTTCTGAGCGCAGACACTGAAGCATACACACGGAAAGTGTGAAAGTACACTTACGCGTCGCATGAACGGAGAATTACACACAAAATGATGTTGAATTGTCCGTTTTGACGAGTATTCACGTAAACACAGTTGATAACGTCTTAAGTGAACGTAAACAGTAGGGAGAACGTGTATCAATACATTGCACCCATTGCATCTGTGCATTCAGTTTTAAAGGGACAGCAGCCTAATTTAGTTGCTATTGTCCGAGTCACTGATGTTAATCAAGCAACAAAAGAAAGACAGAAAATCACGCACTGCTCTTGACTGAAAAACTTTAGTAGACTTAAAGATGAATCTAAATTTATTTATAGAAATAAATATGTCTGCTTGAAAGAATGAAGAATATGGTAAACAAGTTGCTATAAAGAATGCATAATTAGCCTATATAACCATTGGTATTTCATTAAAAAGAAGACCATGTTCTTGTTCTTTATGAGAAGTGGGTTTATTTAATTTTAACATAAAGGCATGTTGTGTGT